TGATGTTACTTTTAAAACTTTTCCTTGTATTATTTTTCTTTAGGAAGTATTTGAATTTAACATGTATCACTTTTCCTGAAAGCCAACGCATTTAGCCAACGATCTCCGCCCATAATACAAAATTCAAAAAATTTATATCATTCTTCTTGCGGGGATATAACATGTTTTAACAATGATTTATATAAAAAATTAAAATAATTTTTTTATATAAGTCTTGATCTTCCATATCAATTATTATTTTGCTGTTACAACCTGCTGTTATATTTCTGGTCTTACCTTTTCTCTTATTAAACTTATTTTTAACGTAAATAAATCAAGAAAGATAATACAGCCCCTCTACTAATTGGAAAGATTAATTTGAGTATATTTTTATAGATTTATAAAGTTTTTGTTCCTTGATAGATTCGATGATATTCAAGATGAGGCCATTATGCGAAATGGTTTTCCCGTAGCCCATTCTATTTATGGACTTCACAACTCAATAAACGCTGCAAATTATTTACAATTTATTATTTGTGAAAAACTTATTAATTTACATCCCATGGTAATAAGTAGTTGTATTATGTTTGTGTAAAACTTTGGAAAATTGAATGTGATTTACTTTCTTGATATGTTATAATAGAAATCAAAAGGTGAAATAGATATTCCTTTTTCTGCATGCATAAATAAGATGTAGAATCATTGAGTCAATTCCAATCTTTATTCGTTTCTTATCTATTGAAGATGATTAAAACTTAATTCTGAACGTCCGGTCTATTTTAATGTTGTACGACTTTTTTCGCATAAATATATATATCATGAAATAAATTATTAAAATATAATTCTCGTTATAAAATTACACTTTTTACCGTGCCAACCGATAACACTTCTTTGTAATTTTGATTATATATTTTGATTATACATTTTTTGTTTCAATTATATATTTTTATATCTTAACAGGCAGTTAAAATTTTCATTGAACAGATGATGGAATTCTATAGAGGTCAAGGAATGGATATATATTGGAAGGAAAATTTCATCTGCCCAACAGAAAAAGATTACAATATTTTAGCATTAAGAAGTAAATATTTTTGCTTTTGTAAGCTTCTGTTATATACGAATCGTATTACATATATATGTATAATTTAAATATTAATTAATTTTATAGAGAGTGGTTGGCTAGTCATACTGGTGATAAAATTAATGAAACTATTTTCTACTTTTGAAGAAGACGTCTTGTCGCTAGCAAGTACTATGGCATTGTATCGCCAGATATATGACGATTATAGCAATTTACATCACGATAAGGTAACCAATAATTTAATTTAATTACTTGAACCAAATTTAACAAAATTTATTGTTATTACAGGATACTAACGAGAACAGTTATTGCGATGATTTGACCGAAGGAAAAATGAGTTTCCTAATTATTCATGCGCTTAGAAACAATCCTGACGATCAGAAAATAATAAGTATCCTTTATCAAACATATAACATTTAATATGAAATAAGTACATACTAAGGAATATATTTCGTATTAAGTAGACAATAAAAAAATTAAATGGTAAACAATCTTTATTTTGAAAATTTTTATAACAAAATTTTTAGATAATATTAAAATCCTTAACAATAATTCAAGATCTTTTAAGACAACGATCGAAAAATATTGAAGTAAAACGTTACTGCGTTAAAGTATTAGAGAGTTACGGTTCATTTAAGTACGCAAAAGATGTACTTGATGAATTGGAAAAAAAGATGAGAACCGAAATTGATCGTTTAGGTGGCAATCCGATCTTTGTGAAACTTCTGGACGACGTAAAGAATAAGATGTCGAAAACACGTATCTAAAGATTTTTTAATCAAAATGATAAAAAATTCAGAAATATGTATTTTGTTATTAATAAAACGTCAGACATAGCATTGTATACTTTATCCATATCGGTAAAATCGGTATCCATAAAATAATCTCTTATTAATAGCTATAAACAGCAAAATGTAACAAAAATTAATATCTGTATACTAACGAAGATAAATAAAGCTTATTTATGAATCTTTGCTGAAAAAAATCATTTGTAAACGCTACAACAATAAATCATTATATGCACAAAAAAATATTCTACCGATAAACAAGCAATTCCTCTTAGCATTTCTTCTAAGTAAAAAATTTTACAAGAATCTCACACAGGCACGTGTATTTATGACATGTATATATCTATAAAAATAAGGACACACATGAACTATGATAAAAAATTAATTTCTTTATAGAAAATTCCATTATAATAACTCAAATAGTCTTTTGAAATAATAGGATATACTAGAATGGAAATAATTACCACATGCATTTATTAAAATGATACTTTTATTGATGTGACAATTGATAACTTGCAACATGTTTTTATTAATCTGTTGTAGCAAGTGCAGTACATTGTTTAGTAAATAAATATGTTTATTAGGAATAGCTATACAGCTTGTCATTATATAAATTAAATAGATTGACCGCAGTGCTACTGAAGTATTATAAAAAAAAGTATTCCGACGGAATATTTTAAATTTCAGATTGTTTATGTATTTTTCTTATTATACAAAATTATAATATTATATTATATATACATATATATAATATTATATTATACATATATATAATATTATACCTTTTCTATGATATAATTAATCTTTGGCTCTACTATTGAAATAAACAATTTGAAAAATTGATCGACGTTGAAATCGCATTTAGAGTTTCTATGTGTTAAAATATATCATAACAAAATAATTCGCTAAATCTTGTTTAAACCTTATTTATTTTTTGTAAAGATACAATTTAGAGGTTATCTGTAATTAATTTTCTCTTTACGCTCTTTTGTCAATGCATAGTTTTCTATCTTTTCATTATCGTGTATTACGTAATTCCTATTAAAAATATAAAAAAAGCAATGAAATATAGAAGTCAGTATACATAGTTGGTTCTTATTTTAAGACCGTGTTAAGTTTTTTAAGATGCTAATACAATTCGGTGACTGATTTATAACATTTTAAGATGATTTTTAAAATAATCTTATACATATAAGAATTTTTTTTATATGAAAATCGACAATGAATACCGATCAAAGTCTGTTCTGTTATTAGAAGAGTGCAGGATTTTTAAAATGTCATAACTATAACCAGTTAAGCATACTTTACTTGTTTTTCTTACAAATCCTTTTTATCGGAATTTCTTGCGATAGTATTACATACATATAATAAAATTTGTAAGAACCCTGTTTTTTTAGATAAAAAATAAAATTTTATTTCTCATCATGACTTTTCTATTGAAATAAATTCTACGTAGAACACTTTTAAAAAGTATTTATTAGCAATTGTATATATGAATAGTGACAGTTTAATATACCATATCGAATGATTTTATAATGAAATACGTCTGTTTTGTACGTCATGCAATTATATATTATATAATATCTATTGTTTCCTAACAGACAACTTATATTAGGTGTTGAACTTAATTCCTGTCGCTCGCTTAATTTAAAACAATATTCCACACCTTTAAAAAATCTAAAAAAAAATTTTTGTAATGTAATATGCTAAAAAGTTTGACACACTTTTTAGCATATTACATTAAAAAAATTTTTTTTTAGATTTTTTAAAGGTGTGGAACATTGTTTTAAATTAAGCGAGCGGCAGGAATTAAGTTCAACACCTAATAGAAAATTATATGTAACTAACAAGTGTCTATCTAAGAAAAATATTCACTTCTTCACATACATTCTTTCACGCAAAGCGATGCGATACGTCGCATCGTATTTTTTTCTTTCGCAGATTTGTAAATCAATAAATTAAAAAATATATATATATAGTATTATGGCTCAATAAATTAAAAAATATATATATATAGTATTATGGCTCAATAAATTAAAAAACAATATAATAAAGAGAAAAACTCGTAGCCCTTCTTTTTATTGTATTGTTCAATAAATTACTCTCTCTCTCTCTCTCTCTCTCTCTCTCTCTCTCATCTTGTCTGAATCTCCCATGATGATTTCTTTGAAATCTCCTCCCTCAATTTACTATTTTAGAAGGCATTATTTCGGCCTCGCACACTTCTCGCGTTCGTTCTTGCCGCAAGTTGAATCGGGTGCTCAATTGACCTCTCTTGATACATGACGATATCAAGTCGAAATCCATCAAGGACTAAGACAGTGTGGCGATTTGACACGTCCTCTGTTCAGGCTCGCTATCCTCATCGGATTCACTAGCCCAGGAGGACCGTCGTTCGTGTCATATCTCGCCATCGCTGTCCCCGGGACAGCGTCCTGGTCCTGACACGCCGTCATCGAGAACCTCCGTCACCTCAAAACAGACAATGATGGATAGGAGTAATCGAAAAAAGTATATATGTGTATGTATGTGTGTGTGTGTGTACTAGATCGATATTTTATGAAAAAGAGAACCAAGAGAAAATTAATTCGCGATCTTCTTACGAGATTTTTCGATTGCCGATCTTGAGAATACTCACCAGAACTTCCTCGAAACGATCGTAATTCTCCTGTCTGGAGTTCAAGAGGCTCTCACCTACCGAGTCGGTACCAGTGTTCGATTGACAAGGATCTCGTCGTTCTAGCGCGCTCGATGCAATATGCAGTAAGGACAGTACCGCCAACAGGCCGGCTGCAAACACATTCTATCTGTCAGAGGTTCACGGAAATAAACTCTGTCGTACTTACCCGCAACGTAGGATAGCCAAAGTTTATTGGGTCGCCACGCTAAGATGCAGGACAACGGTAGATAAAACAACGCTCTTCGCCAGCCTCGCGTAGCCACTAGGACGCTAAACCAGCAACGCGAACAAAGAGAATCCTCGTTTCTGCGAAAATAAACCATCAAAACGTGTACTGTTTTTTTTTCCGTAAAAAGAGAAGGATTTCTGAGTTTGCAAGATTAAAAGGATTATTTTCTAGAACAACGTTTTAAAGAATTTAAGCAAATTGAATAATTTGATATATCTGAAATTTTTTACTTGTAAATTAAATTAATAATAAATAAGCTTTTTAAACAAAATTATTTCTAAATAATTAAAGTCGGACTCTCAATCTTTAAAATAATAAATAACAGTAAAATTAAGGCTAATAAGAGTCAGTGCGGAAGTGGGTGAGTACAAATATTAATTCATATAAATTATTCTATTATAATACATGATGTCAACTTTATTACAAATTCTTGTTGAACGTTTCAATTCTCTTTGGAATCCTCTTTAGCAAAATTACAAGTATTCTCAGAAAGTTGAAACGTTCAACTAGAATTTATAATAAAGTTGACATCATGTATTATAATGGACTTTATATGAATTTATATGAATTAATATTTGTGCGCACCTACTTCCGCGCTGACTCTCATTAATTTTATCTTAATTTTACTGTTATTTATTATTCAAAATTATTTCATTATTGCGAAATTTTATTTTAATTGGATCTAATTGCATGTTGAAAATCGAATCAATTTGAGAGTGAACGAGACGTTTTTCCAATATTCGATACACTCGTAAGCGTATTTACAAATGTTTGTAAAAGTATTTATATGTTATCTGATGTTCGTAAAATTAGAAGATTTGCCCGATTTGCATTCGATAAACAGAACTCTCGAAAACGACACTTTTCGCTGAATTCGCGAGCAATCAACGTTTATATTCCTGATTACGGCTCCGTCATTTCCCACTTGAGTCTCCGTCTTAAAACGGAGTAGTAAGACGACTTTTCTATCGATACAACTTTCAGCGTCGAATACTCTCGTCGAGTACGCTTTTTATGAGATTAACAAGTTTAATCCCAAATATACAAAAGAAATCTCGCGTTAAAATAATACCTCAATTTGTACGGTATTCTACAAAAATGCAACGACCAGCTTTACGTTATAATCTTTGTATATTTTCTCGGCTCACGTAATACATGAATAAAAATATTTGTCTAATTGAAATATGTTACGCTAAAGCGCGCGGTGGCAATTGCGTTCACCGCGTAATTTAGCGGAAATCGCCGTGGTAACTGTATCGAGAAGAAAATTGCCGGGAAGCGATTTACCCGAGTCCGAGATTATCGGCAAAATTTCCGCGGAGATATAATTATCGCGCGCGTTCCGGAGCTATTATTAATTTAGGAAATTAGCCGTCGTTGTAGATTTAAAACTCGTCAGCTTGCAATAAAAAAAAGAAAATCGACTTTGCACAGCATGCGAACCTTAATGCGAGGACAAATCTTCCCGGTATTCTTTAAAAATAATCGAGAAAATCGACAAGATCAATTGATTGAGAGAAACATTCATCTTTCTCAGTACTCCTTTAACAATTAATTGTAATATTTTTAATTGGATTATCTGCATTGAAAGAAACAGAAAAAGAAAGGGTGATCCGACGGGCTTTCATCCCTGCGTGATGAGCAGATATAAAAGAAGATGTCTTCGTTGGAAATCCGTTTTTCTACGAGAAGCGACGTTATCTCTTCCCTTAGCCGTTCGATCATCTCCACGTAGATCCGAGTGATCGATCGCTCCGACCAGCAGTTTTAATGGCACCGTCGTCAAGGACATAAACTTCCGCAGCAGCGTCGATTCCGGATGGAGCGCTAAGTTAAGTTACTCGATAAAACCGTAGACCTCGCAGAACTTCTTTTACTTCCTCCCACTAGCTTGCGAAGAATGCTGGCGACGTTGTCGTTCCATTGGCCACCATACCGCACACTGGTCGATATGAGCTTAGGTGACAAAAACTATAAGCCCGTCGTCCGCGCGACAATTAAGGTCACGTTTACCGAAAGACTTAACAAAATTTTTATTAATATGCTAATTATCAATAAATATATGCGGAA